CCCCCCCAGCCACCTGGGTGCTGGCAGCTGCCCCCCGAGCCCCCCCAGCCACCTGGGTGCTGGCAGCTGCCCCCGAGCCACCTGGGTGCTGGCAGCTGCCCCCGAGCCACCTGGGTGCTGGCAGCTGCCCCCGAGCCCCCCCCAGCCACCTGGTGCTGGCAGCTGCCCCCCAGCCACCTGGTGCTGGGGAAGCGGGGCGCTGTTTCCCGGCGGCACGCCCTCGCCCCCCGTCCCGCTCCGCGGCCAGGCCCTCGCTGTAGACTCAGGTGTAGGATGGGACCAGCTCCAGGCCCTCAGCCTGTTACCTGTCGTTGCTTCTTAGGGAGCCCCGCGGAGTTATCGATCAGAAATTAAGCTAAATGATCAGTAAACCCTGGGACACACGAAATGGAACGAGTCTTTAAAACGTGATTTTACACAAACCCCCAGCCTTTGCATGAATCCCTGCTACGGTGTCCTTGCCGGGTAGCTGGCTAGGTCCCCTGAGCTTGGACATCTCCAGTAATAAGGAAACCTTTTGAGGCAATCAATCCCATCCCTGAGCCAACTGGCCCTTAAAAAAAAAAGTATTTCCTCCATTATACAGGGTGTCCCCCCAAAAACGTATGCACATTTTTAATAATGATAAAGGTAGTGTTCATTAAAATACATTTTATTTTCAAAGTGTAATAGAATCAGCTGTTAAAGTGTGTATACATTTGGGGGGAGACGCCCTGTATTTTCATGTTTCCTCACAGGTTTTCTCTTGTTTCTCTTTAGTCCTAGTTCTACAAATATGAAAAAAAAAAAAATTGACCCCATCATTCACATGGGGACCCTTCAATACTGGCCTGTTGTTTCACTTCATGGGGACTTTAAAAATTTTGTTCTTGTAACATACTGAATACTCTTCCGCTACCACAAACTGAGTAAAAATGATTCTCCACATTAATTTCTTTAAAAGCTGAGCATCTGTGAAGGCAGGACCTGGTGACACACAACAAAAACATTTCCAAGTGAAGGTCACATTTGAGTTAGTGGAAGGGCTTGTTTACGCTCTACCCTCAGATACTTTAAAAGAAGATCCTGGGTTGGTTAGAGCATCATCCTGATATGCCAAGGTTTTGGGTTCGATCCCCGGTCAGGGCACACACAAGAATCAACTGGTGATGCAGAAATAAGTGGAGCAACAAATCGATGTTTCTCCCTCCCCCTCTCTTCCTTTCTCTCTCTCTAAAAATCAATCAATAATTTAAAACTAAATAAATAAAAAGAAGACCCTGGATGTTCGACTAGCTTCATTCCAAGGCAGCTGTCTAGTAGAAACTTTCGAGATTTTTGGTGAATGAATATGCAAAGCAGATGAGGCCACTGACTGGCGGCTGGGAGAAAGGTTTAGTGACAGCTCGGCCACCATCTCCCCGCTTCGTTATGGAACAATGTGATATAAATACCTTCACTTAGGTTTTCCTATATTTATTATCTGCTTCCCATTGTTGCTTTACTTGATTATAAGATCCCAGATTCATTGTCTTGAAGCCAAGGAAAGAAAATGACAGAGGAGGGTTGCAGTCTTGGTCATTTGAGTGAAAGGAGACGGTGGGACTGCAGTGTTTCTCAGTGAGAGGAGCGACCGCAGCCAGGAGCTCCCTGCATTGTCCTTTCCCAGGCCCAAATTTCTGCTCCTTACGCTGTGGACTGGCTGTGGTCATGCACCTCTCAAACCTCACCATGATCACCCAGCGGGTGAGCCTGAGCATCGCCATCATCGCCATGGTCAACAGCACCCGGCAGCCTGCCCTGCTCAACGCCTCCGCGGATGAGCCCCTTGTAGACGCCCTGAGGGACTCCAGCAGATCCATCAAGGAATTCAACACAGAGGTAAGTGAGATGGAAAACCAGCCCTTTGTCGGGAGGGAAAACCCAGTTTGAAGGGAAGACTTCGATCTTGATTCTGTGGGTAGAGAAGCATGAATTTTCAATGATGAACTTTTTAGAACTGAAATTATTTTTCTTTGAGCTATGGCTTCACTCTCTGATAATCTTTCATTAACGTTATCATAATTACAAGATGGAGGAATATAGGAAAAAACTGTGAAAGCTTCTAAAAAGGAATAGGTTACTGGGCGTCTTCAATGAAAAAAGTAGGCACCATCTCAGCGCATCCTTCTGCCTGATCCTGCGCAGGTCTCGGCACCTTCCCTTGTCTTCGAGCCATTTTACAACTTAAGTTCTACACACAAATGGTATTGCAAATGGTCCTTGCCTGCAGCTCTGCAAATGTATTTGTCCTGTGGAAAATCGGCTGACTCTCCTCCACTTGCGCCTCAGTTGAATAAGCCAGTTTTGCCATTTATTGAGCCTCTTTTCCAGCATTACTTCCTGCACATGTATGTGTGTGTGTGGTTCTTCGAATTCTCCTCCAGACCAGCTGCAATATCTTACCATCCTCATATTTCATAATTTTATTCCCTGGGACCCTGCTCATTTACGATGACCTATCGTTCATTCTGCACATTCACTCTCCCTGCTCGAGAATCCAGGATCCCCCATGTTGCCAGACTCCTCTCTCTGCGTGCTGGACCCCTCCGGAGCCTGGCCCACCTCTCAGCACCCTCACATCTGCTGAGCGGCCCAGGGACAGTCCCTGCTCTGAGCAGTCAGAGCCCCGGTGCATCGCTGACCCTCTGGTATCGTTCCAGATGCTGCAAAGTCCACTTTTCTGTTTTCTTCAATGAGAATGAATTTTCTTGTTTCTCTTGATACAAATCAGAGTCATTCTTAAAGGCTGCTTCAAGTGCTGCTCCCTTCCTGGGACCTTCCCAGCTCCCTCTTCTCAGAGTCCCTTTTCCACTGGTGGTCATCTTCAAACTCCCAATTCTGACGTGAATCGTGTATCTTGCATTATTTATTTTAAGTGGACAAAGTATTTTATAGTTCACAGTGTTTGGCCCTCTACTCCCATTTATAACATGATGTTTCACATCTAATGGGCTACCAAAAATTATTTACCAGGCCCTGGCCGGCATGGCCCAGTTGGTTGGACACCGTCCTGCGCACCAAAGGGTTTTGGGCTCAATCCTCGGTAGGGGGTGTGGAGGAGGCGGCTGATAAATGTTTTGCTCTCACGCCGATGTTTCTCTCCCCCTCTCTTTTTCTCTCTCTCTAAAAATCAATTTAAAAAATCTTTAAAGGAAGTGTTTATTGGGCTACATCAGAAGGGGAATGTGACCTTACTCATGCGTCATCGTGTTTAGGAAGCCAGCTCTGCAAGGCAGGCGACCATCATCCCTACACCTGGCATCAGGGACAGATCTGGGTGAGAGCTCAGTAACGCTGCACCCTCCTTACTCTTTGACATGAGGGTCAGGGTGTCACCCAACTTTTACCAGAAACAAAATAGCTAAAGGGAGATATTCCACAGACGAAACATCTCTCCGTCTCCCTTCACCTACACCTTCCCACCACCCATTTGTGTGATTATTTCTTTATCTCATTTCTCCTTCAATTCCTCTGTTTTTTCTTCCTCTGAGAGAAGTTAATTCTGGGTTGTTTGGAAAAGGTGGAATATTTTAGTTAGATTTAGAAAAATAGAGAAAAACCAAATTTCATCTTTTATGGTAGGGTCCCACCAACCACAAGCAGCTCCAGCTGTGAAGCAGATTTTCTTAGCGAAGAATTTTCCTTTCCCCCCCCCAGACCTCTGTATACGAATGGAGCCCCGAAACCCAGGGCATCATCTTCAGCTCCATCAGCTACGGGATTATACTGACCCTGATCCCCAGCGGGTATCTGGCTGGGATATTTGGTGCGAAGCACATGCTGGGGGCCGGTTTGCTCGCCTCCTCCCTTCTCACGCTCTTCACGCCGCTGGCTGCTGACCTGGGAGTGAGCTTGGTGATTGTGATTCGCACGGCCCAGGGCATGGCCCAGGTACTCAGACGCTTTCTCCCCTCCGAGTGCAATACAGACTCCTGAATCTACCAGCGATCAGAGGCCTCAACGGTTTTCATTTCAGGGGATGGCATGGACGGGGCAGTTTACCATCTGGGCCAAATGGGCTCCCCCGCTCGAACGCAGCAAGCTCACCAGCATCGCCGGCTCCGGTAAGGATTCCGACCCGGGTCCCAGCTCTCCCACACCCTCCCTGCGAGGCAGGGATGGCTTCAGGGAGAGGGGTCAAAGTCCTTGCCCAAAATTCAACAGCGTAGGACGGTACATAGCAGATGAGAAAGACGCCTCGGTGCTGGAGCACCACGGAGGCTCGGCACAGAGCAGACCGTCGTGAACCCCAAAAGCATCATGGGGAAAAGAGTGTAGAAGCCATTTGAAACACCATTTTAGCAAAGATATACAATGAGAACTAAGACTGTTGGAGCTCAGGGCGGGAAGAGAGTTTACACGGCACTGCTTTTGTCAGAGTGAATACTGTTCACGTTGTCGCCCCCCCGGACTGAGCCGCCCTGAGAGCAGGGACGGTGGCTTATTAATGTGCGTCAGTCCTTCCTGTTCTGTCCCCACCCTCCTATTGCTCGCTGCCAGAACGTGACTCCGGTTATAAGGAAATTAGGTGGGCTGTGGATTTCGCCAGGTTGGTGTTAAGGGCCATGTTATTATTATTATCACTATTGTCATAAATCCTAATTCCTTCACGTGACTTTATTGGGGAGATCCGAGTGACAAGAAAGACGCTCGTCACCCATCATTCCAAGGCTGCCCCCTCACTGCTGGGATGACACCCGGGGGCCCCAGGGTCTCAGCCTTCGCCCGGTCACAGCGCTTTTCCTCCCCCTTCTCCCCAGGAGCAGCGTTCGGATCCTTTCTCATCCTCTGTGTGGGGGGGCTCATCTCGCAGGCCCTGGGCTGGCCCTTCATCTTCTACATATTCGGTGAGTCGCTTCCTCTCCCCCTAACGCTTCCGTTTCCCCCGCGTCCGGCCACATTCTTCCTGCAGGACAGGACAGGCCCTTTGCTAAGCGGGAGGCGACAAGCGCCCTGAGGATCGGTTGGTGGGTTTCTTGGTCTAGCCTAGGCGGTGGCGATGCTTCTGCTGCCTCCAGGGGGCTCCGACGGTGACAAACGGCTGTCTCTGTTTGAGAGATGGTATCTGGAGAGCTTTAGTTAACAGGAGATTTGGCCTGGCCAGTGTGGCTCAGCGGTTGAGCATCGCCCCATGAACCAGGAGGTTGTGGATTCGATTCCCGGTCGGGGCACATGCCCGGGCTGCAGGCTCGATCCCCAGTAGGCGGCGAGCAGGAGGCAGCTGATCATTGATTCTCTCTCATCATTGATGTTTCTCTCTCTCTCCCTCTCCCTTCTCCTCTCTCTCGAAAATCAATTTTTAAAAAAACATATTAAAAGAATTGTAGAAGAAGTGATATAAAGAGGTGTGGAAATTGAGGTCCTTGGGGTGGAATAACCATGAATTGGTGTGCGTTTTGGAGGGGGTACCACTTCAGACAAACTCCCTTCCTCGCAGCTCACAAATCTACTTGAGAACTAACTGGGTCCTGGCTTCCCAGGTAGCATTGGCTGCATGTGCTGTGTCCTGTGGTTCACGGTCATTTACGACGACCCCGCTCACCACCCCTGCATAAGCCTCAGGGAAAGGGAGCACATCCTGTCCTCACTGGCCCAGCAGGTACTGAGCATCCCCCCGTGGCTGCGCAGGGGTCACCAGGGCAGGGCGGGGCTCCCGGGACGGGCCTCTGGCCTCTTCTCATACCCACGCTGATTGGATATTTCCTTTCAGCCCACTTCTCGAAGACGATCCGTCCCCATAAAGGCTATGGTCAGATGCCTGCCTCTGTGGGCCATTTTCACAGGGTTTTTCAGCCATTTCTGGTTATGCACCATCATTGTGACGTACCTGCCGACATACATCAGCTCTGTGCTCCACGTCAACATCAGAGAGGTGAGCGTGCTTCCGACACACCTCTGACAATGAGAACATTGTCAGTGGGGACATTTGTGTCCATGCTGCCGATGACATCCTGGCTTTGCCCACAACCATTTAACCTTCACAACGACCTTGAGAGAGGCACCGTAAGGATCCCCATGGCACAGGTGTGGAAACAGGACACACAGAGGTGAGAGGACGGCCTGGATCCCACACCTGCCTGGTGACAGAGCTGCTGCAGCGTGAGCTCCTAACCACCGCGCTTCATTCTTACTTCAAGTCCTCTTAGAAATTAATATCGCTTGTCTCCGGAGACAGTGTAAGGCCGGTGCCGGCCCTCTCGCCTGAGACAGTGATACCACTAGTTTCCTTAAAACAACTCAATGTCATGCCCGGGCCAGTTTGGCTCAGTGGTTAGAGTGTTGGCCCAGGGACCAGAGGGTTGCAGGTCTGATTCCTGGTCCAGGGCATGTGCCTGGGTTGCAGGTTCAATCCCCAGGGCCGATCGGGGCACATGCGGGAGGCAGCCCATCGATGTGTCTCTCTCACATCGATGTCTCTCCCTCTCTCCCTCTCCTCCTTCCTTTCCACTCTCTGTGAAAATCAATGGAAAAAATATCCTCGAGTGAGGATGGACCAAAAAAAAAAGAATGTCAGGAGGGCTGACAGTGGTGTGTGTGACGTTGGTGCCCTGTCCCGTGTCCTCACCGGGTCAGTTTCCTCCCCCCAGAGCGGGGTCCTGTCCTCCCTGCCCTACGTTGCTGCCTCGACGTGCACGATTCTCGGAGGGCAGCTGGCCGACTTCCTCCTGTCCAGGAATCTTCTCAGGCTGATCACCGTGCGAAAACTCTTCTCGTCCCTGGGTAAGGACAGGCGGACGGGCGTGGGGAACAGATCCCTTCCTGCCTGGTCTGAGCGGGTCCTGAGCCCCATCTTCCCCCCAGGGCTGCTGCTCCCCTCGCTCTGTGCCGTGGCCCTGCCCTTCGTGGCTTCCAGCTACCTGACAACCATTGTTCTGCTGATACTCATTCCTGGGACCAGCAACCTGTGCGACTCGGGGTTCATCATCAACACCTTAGACGTGGCCCCCAGGTGAGACCTGTACCTGCTGGGGCCTCCTCCAGGCCCCTGCAGAGGTGTCGGGCCTCAGTCTTACCCTGTGACTCCTTTGTGTTGCTGACATACAATATACGGGGCAGAATAGTGACAAATGGCTAGAAATGTCAGCCTGTGGCCATGGCCTGAGGCGTTTTCAGAACACACCCAGTCCTCACAGCGACGGAGGAGGCCCTCTTGTCATCCACGCGTGATAGGGGAGAAGGCTGGGGCACAGTTCAGGTGACATGCCCGACGTCACACACACGTAGAGCCAGGATCTAAACCCAGGCATTCTGTACGGAGTCTGTTGTCCTGTCCACTCGACATACTGCCAGGAGGGAGCCTGGACTCCCCCGGGGGCAGAGTCTCTCCCTGGTTGTGGGCTTGGAGGCAGGTGATCATCGCCCTGAAGGTCGAGACACCACGTCAGGCTAGACGACTTTGCCAATAGAGCTGAACTGCACCCAAGCTGAGCGGCTGAAAAGCCATCTTTCTGTCTAAGAAAAGGCCACTATAAAACGCTCGCTGTTTGAGGCAGCTTCCTGTAAAACCACCTATGACATCATCGCCCACAGGTACGCGAGCTTCCTCATGGGCATCTCTCGGGGATTCGGGCTCGTCGCGGGGATCATCTCCTCCACGGCCACCGGATTCCTCATCAGCCAGGTGGGGCCCGCTTACCGAGCAAGCGGGAGCAGCAGGTGCTGCGCTGGCACCGGGCACGCACGGCCGGGCCTCTGCTCCCGGGACTGTGGTCGGATGGGAAAGGCGGGCACGGACGCCACCACCCTGCCCTGCTCGGAGCAGACTCTCAGCCGGGCTCCGGGAGCTCAGGTTCCCGGGGGGAAAATAAGAGCAGGGTTTCTAAAGCTGAACAGTGTCCGATTGATGGAAACGGGAGGTTCGGGCAGAGCAAACAGCACGGTGACTGTCTGGAGGAACAAACGCAGAGCGAAGGGCAGACTTCGAGTACGAGAGGGAAACGGGGCAGACGAGAGATGACAAGGAGTCCGCTCAGATTCGCTCTGACTTTAGAGTCACGAATGGAAACACCCGTGTTGGAGGCCAGTTTAAAGAGGTTAATTCATGGTAGACAAAGCTGGGAGGGTGGCGGACGCTCTAACCACTGAGCAACACCAGCCAGGGCCATGGTTAGTTTTCGACCAAACTGCTAGGGATGCACTGTGCCTGTAGTGACAGACACGACCTTGCACCCACGAGGCCTCGGTGAGCAGCGTCGGGCGGGCTGGCTGCATGCAGCGCGGTGGTTCCGAGCCGTCCAGCCAAGGGATTGTTGTGACTGACGCCTCAAACCAAACGACGCAGCGAACAGAGGATGAGATCTTTCTGTTGTGCTTAATCATCACCCAAGGATATTTTTCCCATTGCTTTTCAGAGAGTGATAGGGAGAGAGAGAAACATCAATGTGAAAGAGACACATCGATTGGTTGCCTCCTACATGTGGCCCCAACCGGGGCCTGGGATCAAACTTGCAACCGAGGTATGTGCCCTTGACCAGGAACCGAACCTGAGACCCTTCGGTTCAAGGGCCGACGCTCTAACCCCTGAACCACTCCAGCAGGGCGAGGGTGAGATCTTAACAAGGCCATTTTAGGCATCATTTTCCATGAATGATAGGATTTTTCATGACTGTTGGGATCCCAAATCCAGAAAAACACTGGTGTAGGTGAACTTATTTTGGTTTAAAGAAAAATCCGTCCCCACCCAGAACCCATCTTTCATTTGAGAGTCATTTTGTGTCCAAGTTCCATAAAACCGTCTCTGATAAGTTAAGACACGTGGCTATTGCAGGTCATTCCTTATGCTCTTCAGGGTCAGCATGGCCACACATGATACAGAGGATTTCTAGGCCTGGTGGGGAAGGAACTTGTGAGACTGATGGTTCCAGCCTTTTGCTTCCAGGATTCTGTGTCCGGGTGGAGGAATGTCTTTTTCCTGTCTGCCGCTGTCAACATGTTTGGCCTGGTGTTTTACCTCACGTTTGGACAAGCAGAGATCCAGGACTGGGCCAAGGAGAGGACCCTCACCCGCCTCTGAGGGCACAGGGCTGCAGACGTCAATGTAGAACTGACCATCGACGTTTCAACGTTTTTTTTTAACTTGTCTTCATTCTTTCTTCACGGTCAGCTCGGCAGTTCTCAGCGGGGTGGTGTGTTAGACTTTCCTGGGGAGCCTCTGAAACATACTGACGTGCAGGACCTGCTCCAGAGATGCCGAACGCACTGGTTTGGGGTGGCACCTGGACACCATGAATGTTTAGACACTCCCCAGGGTTTTTAACACAGAGGCAGGGTCGACAACAGCTGGACATGCTTGAAATATCAATTCCTGCTGCCTTGGAATTTCCCTCTTTGGAAAGTACTGGGTGGATAAAAATCTGTGGAAATAATTACCAACAACGAGTTCCATGGGGGTGATTATGGACACAGCAGAGATCTGCCGGGACCTGTAGCCGTGTTACAGAGCTCCGCTCGGGACACAGCGTGAAGTCTGTCATCTACGGGATTAGCATTTTTATTGTTTATATACTGTGAAAGTTGGATGTTTATTTATGTGGTTAACTTCTATTAAAACTCACGTACTAAAATTAAATAGACCATTTTCAAATTATTTAGATTAGGATTATTTCCATCATGCAAAACAGGTATCTACTTATTTATTCTAGTTAAATTCCAGGAGATCCACGACCAGGAAATGACCCGGAGATGAAATGACTGAGGTTAACGAGAAACTGGGGGCCGAGGGGGTGGGTGCAGGAGAGAGAAGACAGAATTGAAAAGCTTGCACTGTGAGAAGAAAGGATGGGAGGCGAGGCAACGTGGGCACTTCCAAAAGGGACAAGGAGATGGCTTGGACCAAGCTAGGGATTCCCCCTGGACAGGGGTAGTAACTGTGTTGTTGACGGCAGACTCCTGGGCTGATATCCTTGACTGGGGTGCTAGTCACATGGGGGTTTCACTTTGTGAAAAGTGTACATTTATGTTTTGCACACTTTTATGCATGTAAAACGTAGAAGAATTTAAAAGATCGGAGGGAGGGCAGGGTGGCAAAGGAAGACCTCGTGGAGAGAGTGACGTATGAGTCGAATGAGCACTGAAAGTTAGTAAAAGTGACTAAGGAAAAGTAGTAAGAGTGCTCCAGGCAAAGGAGCCAGCCTGGGCGAGAAGCACGATTGATGACAACATATGACAATAATAGCACAGCAAGAGCCAGCGTTTGCGGAGGGCTTAGTACGTGGCAGTTCATTCTCACAGCAGCCCGGTGGGTAGGCAGGTTATTACCCCAGTTTTACAGTGAGGCAACGGAGGCAGCAACTAAATAAATATTGTGCAATAGGATTTAGACTCCAGGCAGGCTGGCTGGACCGTAACGATTAGGAAAACTTGGAAGACACGCAACAGATCTTTTCAGAAATAGAAAGAAGCAAAGATCTTGGGGAAGACATAATCGGACACCCATGTGGAAGTCACTGGCTTTTGATTTTCGATACTATGCAGGGTCCTGAGTGACCCCCCTCCCCCCGTTTTCAGAGAACTTGCAGGGAACCAGCAAACAGTTGGAAGAAAGAACGAATCCAAACGAAAGCCTTACTCTAGTTATGACGACTCCACTCACAAGATAGGTTGTTACCTGGCATTTGACTTCAAATGAGGGTTAATGAGACCAATTAATTAAAAACATTCAAAACACAACAGGACACAAAATACCCGGAGCTGCCGCGCCTGCCAGGGGTGCACAAGCCATGTGCGTGGGAGGCAATCTGGGCTTCGCTCCCGTGCAGGTGACCCCATTTCTCTCCTAAAATCAGTAAGTCCCCAGCTGACCAGCTCATCACGAGCGCTAACTAAAGGCCGCGGCGATATCTGGAAGGGTGTGCCCTACGGGTGCCAAGACTCGATCATCCCGAGGTGACCAGGCTCCACACCTGGACCCACGGCCACCCAGGCCGCCTGGCTCTCCAGCGTCCCTGGTGCCGGGAGGGACCCTGCCTCCCGCCCGTAAGCTCACTGGGCTCTCCTGCTGGTTTCAATACTGAAACTCCCTTCTCTGAGTCTGGGCTCCCTCCACCTCTAACTAATTTGTTTCCATGAGTCCTGCCGCTGGCTCAGCAGTTCGGGTCGTCGCCCTGGTGTCCTGTGGGAAGGACTTCCCCGCAGCGGCACCCTCCTCCTCACGCTCTGATTGCGCAGTGACATCTCTCCCCCTCCCCGCGCCCTCCCACAAACGCCTCCTTTCCCCAGGCTGGCGCCTTTCTCCCTCGTCACCATCTCAGGTGTCCGGAAGAGCTGTGAGCCTTAACCCATCAAACCCCAGGACGCTCCACACGTCACAGCGCACAGTCCCCGATTCCCAGGCCGGTACCGTCTTCCATGCCCATTTTCCAGGACCCCTGCCTCCCCACCTGCAACACGCCCACACAACC